GTGCGTGTGGGGGCGCTGCTCTCGAGACGGCTGGATAGGGGTGGGCGGGAGGGTGGAGGGAGGGAGGGGTAGATGTGGTCACTTGATTACGAGTGACATTTGCGTGGAAGTGATGGAACGTGGCTGTGAGAATTTTTCGCAATGGATAATCTGATAACTTTGGATTTAATTCCGGTTACGTGGAGTGTTGTGTTATTAGGGTATTGTGATTGATAATTATTTTTTTTCGGTGACAGTGAGATTTGGTCGCGCGGTGGGTGAGTGAGTGAGCGTGGCACTGTTCCCACCGGGGCTAATGACTCATGTTGCGAAATGGCAGTGCGAATAACGAATAAATGAACAGAAACGGATTTGCTTTGCCCTGATTTCGAAACACTCGTTAGTGGAAGGTGCAACAATTTTTTTTAAATCTTTTTTTACGTGGCGATTTGGCGGAGAGGATTTACAAAGGAGATTAAACGACCGGCATATATTGGTTTGTATTCGTAGACGCCAAAGGACTTCTTGTATTAGATTCGCCTTCGACAAGTATTACAGAATGTATCGTTAGTGACCGTATGTAGAGATACAGTGTAAGGTAAAGGTACAGGATTAGACTATTAACTATTTTGGTACTTCCTGTAGTTAGTAGATTGGTCCTGCGCCCATTCTGATCCGCCATGCATCGGATTAATCCTTTATTTGTGCATTTAATCGTCTAGAGATCTGACACCGATCTAAACAGTTTTAACCTCAGTCAACACACTCATTATCTGCACATTCCTCTATCCCCTTTCGCCGTTAGTTACATCATCTTCTCTATCCACCTCCTTCGCTGCATTTTATCCCTGTCATCCCTCTCCGCCTTTCTCCCATCCAACTATCCATCATCCCTTCAATCCATCAGTTTCTCCCCACCTAACCTATCCATCAATTCAGTTTTGCCAAGTGCTTCCCTATAATCCTTTTATTTATGAAGTTTGTTGTTTATTCTGATAACATGAATACTTGATGCTAATTCTATATAGTATAAGGCTTATTCGTCAATATAATTTTATAGAATACTAATTAAATCAATAAATTCCTTTGTTTTTTGGTTATTTATAGCTTATTCGTCAATATCATTTTTAGCATACTAATTAAATCGATAAACTCCTTTGTTTTTTTTTAGTTATTTGATTAATTTCTCGATTATACAAGGGGCCCACACACCCTGACACAAGCCTGGCCTCCCACAGCCATTATACCACCCATCGTGTTTGGCTTCTTCTCAGAAAACCTTATCTCACTATCTATCTTTCTGTCTATCAGCTCATCCGGCCATGTCCTTATCAGCTGATTTCTGTTTAGGTCTGTTTGTGTTTTATAATCATCCACCTCTGTCTGCATCATGTAGGCCTATAGATTTGTGGATTTGTGCATTTTATGATTCACATGTGACTTCTAATTTGTATTAATAACTTTTAGTGCGAGTACTTTTATTAAGAGAGTATGTTTTGAAGGATTTTGAACATTAGTAAACGGGTCTTTTTAAATCCAATACAGTAGCAATCTAAGCACCGATTTTATATATTTTTAAAGGATTTTGTTAATCCAATACTGTTCTATCGCTCTATTTTTAAATTATTGTGTTTATTTACGTCTTTTCCTTGTTTCGAAATCCCAGTGTAATCAAATGTTTTACGATTTCTGGATGTCTGTGTGTTTAATCCAATACTGCTATATCGCCTTATTTTTTAATTATTGGGTTTATTTACGTCTTTTCCTTGTTTCGAAATCCCAGTGTTAAATGTTTTGCGATTTCTGTATGTCTGTGTGCTTAATCTAATACTATTCTATCGCCTTATTTTTTTAATTATTGGGTTTATTTACGTCTTTTCCTTGTTTCGAAATCCCAGTGTTAAATGTTTTGCGATTTCTGTATGTCTGTGTGCTTGATTTAATACTGTTCTATCGCCTTATTTTTTTTAATTATTGGGTTTATTTACTTCTTTTCCCTGTTTCGAAATTCCAGTGTTATCAAATGTCTTGCGATTTCTGGATGTCTGTGTGATTTCTGTCTGTCTTCAGCGTTGCCTCGTCGGAACCTGGAACGAAAAATTGCGTGCCAGGCCATTCGGAACATATGGCCACCTACTTCCACTCGATTTTCAAAGTTGAAGTGGGTCGACGGGACCTCCTTGTTCCATGGGCGAGCCTTAGTGCAGGATTTCCTAAGAGGGATAGAAAGTGCTGTTAGACATTTCTCCGGTCTGTCCCTGTGTGTTGCAAGTTTTTTTCTTCCTCCTTTAGGCCCTTGAGTTGTGAGGTGCTTTAAATCTTGTTTTTTTTAATGGTTTGTCTCTTATGAAGAAATTGTTTTGGGTGTGTGTGTGTGTATTCGTTGATGTCTCTCCGTGTGTATGGACGGCCTTGACGATCTTTCATGACATCTGTGCACGATCAGTTGTCCACATACGTATATAATCCTTCTTTTCTCTCTCTGATTTACATCTCGTCTATCCCAGTCCCTTCCTGACAATTTGACGGTCTAGAAGGGACTGGGATAGACGAGATGTAAATCAAATTGTCTTTCGTAGTCGGATTTCCGTCGATTTTCCCACCCTGTTATATCCTATCTTTTCTATCAGTCCTTTCCAGCTTGTCTCAGATCTTTTTCTGTCTTCTGTCCAGTTATATCGGTTTAGTTTGGTCCGTTCCAGCCAGTCTAATGGTCTTTTTACAGTCTGTGTTCTCTCCATCTGAGAAAGCCCCTTTTAGACCACCTAATGGTCTTTCCCGTATCATTATCCATCTCTGTTGGCCAGACCCTTGTTATGGTATTTTTACCTTTTTTAATATTTTTGTCTCCTCTGGGATTTCTCTCCCACCATGTCCATTCTCGCTCACCTCATGGCCCTTTCTCCCTTCGGTTTCCCTCCATCTTGCCCCATTCTTCTCCCCCATCCGATGGACAGCGAACAGGATCCCGCCTTTGCGTCCCACACGACGTCAGGCACTAGTACAGTTTTTTCTGTTTCTAGGACGCACGTTTGAGGTCAGCAAGACCCGCCCGCCCGGCCGCCCTCGCGCGTGTGTGTTTATGTTTATGTGGGCGTCGCGGTCACTGGTGTGGGCGAGCGTCTCGTTCGTACCAAGCAGCGGTGACACAGCCCTCCCCCGCCAGCGCTCGGTGGACGGCGCTCCCAAGCCTCGCCGGTCGAGATGGTCGTTTCCCGTGTTGCGGCTTCTTCCTTCCGTTGCCGCGACGCGCTCGCTCTTCTGGGACTTCTTCTTCTCGCGTCTTTTCTTTTTCTTTAGTCCCGGTTTGTGATTCTACATTTCTATTCATCTCTACATGTTGTTATCGTGTTTTGCCGCGAGTCTCTCCCGCGGATCTTTCATGTGGCGGAGGCGCTTGAAGTTGTTTGCTGGGTCGTGTTGCTTATGGAGTCGCGGTTTGTGTAAGATTCACGTCATCGTTCAGAGCGGTCTCCTCCGTGACGCAACGCATTTGTCTGCGGTTTCAGCTTATAAACTTTCTTGCAGTTTGCAGGCTAGCTGAAGCAGGCATTCCATCGCGAAAATGATAGCAATTGACCCCTTGTGGTTGCATCGACGCTTTCCGTTACTATCGAGATATCCATATGTTGTCTGGTTGATGCCGATTAAGTCGGGTTAAAATACGGATTAAGTCCCCAGGTAAAGATGTTAGTAATTAAAGTCCAGGTAAAGATGGTTAGTAATTAAAGTCCAGGTAAAGATGGTTAGTAATTAAAGTCCAGGTAAAGAATGGTTAGTAATTAAAGCCCAGGTAAAGACGTTAAAGCCAGGATACTCAAACTGAACAGCGATCTCGTGTTCAGCGATGACACAACCTCCGCACAAGTGAACAGATTTGATTGCAAGGTCGAGGAGGAAAGCGCTGAGGTTACCCGGCCGCAGGAAGTGCAGCCTGGCAGTAGGTCAGCATGCAAGAAGGCCTCGTCTTGAAATAGAAGCAGATCGCTATTTTTTCTTGTTTTTCTTAAATTTTTAAGACGTAGATTGGAAAGCAGAAGTGGAAAAAAATAGCAGAATTTCGTCACAAATGGACTTCGTTAATCATATTCAAATTTATGATGTTTTATTTGTTGCGGTTTTTAAATCCTGTTGAAAATTACTGTAGCTTCCTAATCCTCGCTTTATATACAGCTAGCCTTATATATACCACTTTTGCCTCGTGCATTTAATACAACAGATTCTTATTACAATCCCGAGTTATCCTTTTGGTCTGCCCAGATCTGGTCCGAAGAAACAACGCCCCCCCCCCCCCCCCCGCCCCCACTAAGCTCCTTCCTAGGTTGCTCAAGACGTGACGAGCTGGACTCGTGGAAGGTCAGGCCAGTACATGCGCCCCCCCCATCCCCCCCCCCCTCCCCCCCCCCCCTCCTCCTCCCCCTCCCCTCCCCCTCCCCTCCTCCTCCTCCTCCTCCTCCTCTCCTCCTCCTCCTCCTTCCTCCTCCTCCTCCTCCTCCTCCTCCTCGCTCCTCCCTCCTCCTCCTCCCTCCCCCCTCCCACTTTCTAGAGTTCAGACACATGCTACTTCAAAATGGTCTTCCACGCACTTTCCTCCTCGTGGTTAGGTGGCAACACGAACACAGGCAAAGATACGTGTATGTGTGTGTGTGTGTGTGTGTGTGTGTGTGGTGTGTGTGTGTGTGTGTGTGTTGTGTGTGTTGTGTGTGTGTGTTGTGTGTCTGTGTGTGTGTGTGTGTGTGTGTGTGTGTGTGTGTGTGTGTGGTGTGTGTGTGTGTGTGTGGTGTGTGTGTACGGCCATTTATTTATTATATATATACATATACTATATATATAATATATATATATATATATATTATATATATATATATATATTATATTATGTATATTATGTATGTATATATATATATATATATATATATATATATATTATATATATATATATAATATATTTATATATAATATATTTATCTATATCTATATATATATATATATATATATTATATTATGTGTGTGTGTTGTGT